CAATCATCAGGAAGACTTGCTGTTGTCCAGGTGCCAGCTCTCAACAAGCCAATCTGTAAGTTCAGCACAAACTCCAGCCAACGTCTCCAGTCACCTGTGGAGACGGAGACACTGATCCTGAAGTTTGTATGTGAGGGGCCAAGACCCAGAAGAGCCCTCACAGACCAGGAGGAGAAGCTACCGTAATGGAGAGCGTGGGATTGGTGAGAGAACGGACAGACACCGTGGGACAGAACGGAGCCCAGAACACAGCCAGCCCACCTCTGACACAGGAGCGAAGACCATGAACTCAACCAACGGTGCTGGAGCCACTGGACAGCCACGTGCAAAACATGAATCTAGACACGGACCTCACACCTGTCACAACAATGAACTCCAAGTGGATCAGAGCCTGAAATGTGAAATGCAAAACCATGAAACTGCTGGGAGATAGCATAAGGGAATATGTAGATGACCCTGGGTTTGGCGATGACTTTTAGATACAACATCAAAGGCACAACCCATGAAAATAAATCACTGAAAAGCTGAATTTCATTAAAAGTAGAAACTTTCACTCTCCCAAAGTCAATGTCAACTAGAGCATTTGCAGAGATCTCGTGAAGGGCTATCGAAGAGGACAAAGAAGCTTAAAGCTCCACACCAAAGATAAACAGTCTGATTAAAAAATGGGCAAAAGACCCAAAGAGAGACCTCACCAGAGGAGACACACCGATGGCGGGGAGCTGCCCAGGGCAGGCAAATGGAGGCAGAGAGCGGCACGCCTGTCACACGCACAGGCCGGGGCCGCCCCCAGTGCGGGGTGCGGAGCAGCAGGAAGCTCACTGCCCGTGGGTATGCACACGGCGCAGCCCCTGGGGAGGCGGTGCGGTGCCTTCTTACACAACTACACACACTCATAGGGCCCAGCAACCATGCTCCTTGGTATTTACCCAAAGGAGCTGAAAACTATGTCAACACAAACACTGCACACAGGTATTTACACTCAGCTTTATTCAGTTGCCAAATCTGAAAGCAGCCAAGATCACGCCAGGCAGTTTTAAGAGGAATGAAATTTGCTCTGAATAGTAGGCACAGGACACTGAGAAGACCACGCTGGTCCTGGACCTGTGACAAGCGGGAAGCGTGCAGGGAGATGTGCACGGGGCCCAGGAGGCATCGCCAGCACGAGAAGAGCTGCACTAACCAAGCACGGGGGACCAGCGCCTGGGCAGCCCAGAGGTGCTCGCAGACGGGGGGCGGGGAGCTGGTCCGCCTGTGGTGAGCTTGCTGACTGTGGCTGCGCACCCAGTGCCCCGGCGGGGGAAGGAAGCAGGCGCCTGGCACGGGGGCTCCCTCGCTGTCCTCCAGGGAGCTCGCCTGCAGGCTGGGCGTGGAGAGTGTGCTCTCGGGATGAAGGACAGCCCCAGACGTCACTCTGTCTGCCGCAACCTCGGCCCGACACCCCGCAACCGTGCTCACGCTTTTCCGCGCAGGTCTGCACCGCGGCGTTTCCACGCTGCCCTGCCTTTCTGAGTGTGAGAGCTCTGAAGAGGGAAGGCGTCTGACTGCCCTTCAGTCCCGACATCACCAACACAACTACCAGCTTCCGGCCAAAGGGTGTGGTTTGAAAAAGTATTTTTAATATTATGACAATTTCAAAATCCGTGGACATGAAAAATATACGTAAGTATAAAGCAAGCCCAGCCTTCCAGAAGCACAGCTGCGCTAAGAGGGGCGGGCAGCACGGCCGCGCGCGCTCCTGGATCCGTGGCACCGGGACACGTTCAGAACCACGGCTTCCCGAGCGTCAGGCACAGTGCCGTCCGCGTGTGGGCACCACCATGCACCGCGAATAGGATTTCTTACCTGGAAAACACCAACGCTCAGAACAGGGGGAGAGAGAAGCACTTCACGTACCGGATGGGCTTTTGCTGGGGAGTGGGGGGGCAGAGGGAAGTTCTTTTGAAGATGTAATAATGGCATTTTCCCCTAACAGTTTAGAATCCTGACAGTTTCTAATATTTAAACAGGACACCAGGAGCCCCACTGATTCTACCGGAAATCTCCAATTGATGCGAGTGGCCCAGTGGCCCCCGGGACAGGACAGGACAGGACAAGCGAGACAGCGACAGCTCCCACCTGCCCTACCGCTCGCCATGCAGGGAAAGACCGGCTCAGAGACAAGGTCGAGTTCAATGGCCGGCCCTGGGGAGTGTGAGCTGGAAATGCAAGCCTCGCTCTGGGTCAGCCCTCTCTCCATCGCCTCCTCCGTTCCCGGGGAGATGGCACACGTCGCCCGGTGCTGTCTCACCCGGTGCGATGGCTCCACATGGGCGCTCCCTCCCCTGCAGGGGCCACCCCTTCTCTGACACGTCAGTCAGACGACTCCTGGCGAGGCCCTGCCCCTGGGACCCCAGGCCTCGCTCCATGGAGCTCAGGGAGCCCGGGCCCCGGCCCCGGAGGGCCGCCCTGCGTGAACCCCCCCTCCCCTTGCTGCGGTGAGGACACCTGCGCTCTGCTGCAGCCTTTCCCCTGGTCCCCGGTCCCCCTGCAGAGCGGCTGCTAACGCTGCGCAGACACCCAACAAGCCTGCCCATTAAACTGCAGATGACGCGACTTTTCCACAGACCCACAGCCCTCGGGTTGCTTTTCAGGAAAGAAAGGTGTCCACCAGGAACACTCAGCGCACCTACAAACAGACCTGCACTCAGTCCGTCACGGCTGCCGGGCCGGGGTGTGGGAGCCCTGCCAGCCCCCCGGAGGCGGCCACAGGGCCCTGGAGGGAGGCGAGCCGATGCCTCCCCTTGGAACTGACTGCGCGGTGACTCCAGCTTCCCCAGAGGGCATTCACGGACCTGAAGACCACACTTTCCTTACCGACTCTGAAACATGTTCTCGACTCTGAAACATGTTCTCATGAGGCACTTACTCCCCTCTTCACAGGACGCCACTGCCACCCTCAGATGATTTAGAGGAATTACACATTTATGTTTTTTAAAAACTGATTTCAGGGAGGAAGGGGGGGGGGGAGAGAGAGAGGGAGAGAGAGAAAGAGAAATGATCAGAGAGAATCATTGAACGGCTGCCTCTTGCATGCCTGCAACCCGGGCATGTACCCTGACCGGGAATTGAACCGTGACCTCCTGGTTCATAGTCTGACGCTCACCACTGAGTGCTGGCCGGGCTGAAGCAAGTTTTTAAAAGAGAAAGGACGTCATGAGAGAAGGGACCTGGAGAAGCAGGAAGGGAGGATGGGTCACGGGAAAAGCAAACAGGAGCTGAGAAAGGATGCGCAGGTGGGACTGGGGCCAGGAGTGATGGCGCCAGTGCCTGCACACACGGGGCTTCAGCCTGTCCCCTGCACACGCGTCACCCACATGCTGGCCGCCCACCCAACAGGCCATGCTGCCGCTCGGAACTGAGCATCGTGTGACCAGCTCCCGGGCCTACGACCAGCCCGGCCTCACGCTGGGTCAGAGCCCCGGGAAGGTATGCCTTTGCCAGTCTCGGCTCAGACATGGGCATGACAAGCAGGGCTAACCAAGGACGAACACAGCTTCTCAGGACGGGAGAGGAAGCGGATGAAATACATGCCATGAGCTAACGCTCCCACTTCTCCATCAGGGGAACCTGAGCCAGAGGACATGCCCACCTGCGAGAGAGGACGGACAGACAGACAGACCTGGGTTCCTCAGTGACGGCACCGAAGGGCTGCATGAACCAAACCTACACCCACTGCCCTTTAGACTCATCCTATGAAAGAGCCTTTCTTTTCTGTTCCCCACACGTCACGGTAACAGCCGGAGAGGAGCCAGGCGGTGCGTTTCCTGTGACGGCACAGCTGCTCTCGCTGGGCCCTCAGGCGGGTCTGCCTCCTCTCTGTGTCTCGTATAAAGGAGGACGCACTGGACATGGCTCAGCAGGAAGCTTTGTCTGCTGAGGACACACTTTCCAAGGACGTTGCTCCGAGGAGTGAACTGGTGACGTCAAGTGACAGGAGCATGTCTGCCGTGCAGGGTCAGACTGACTTCTAGGACGTGTGTCCTCTGAAGCCCCTCCCGCCACGTGATGGTCTGTGTCACCACGTCCCGTCCAGCCGGAGCCGACTGCTCCCAGGCCCTCCCACCCTGTCACGCACAGAGCCTTGGCCTACAGACCCCGCCGCCCGTCACCCTTGGCACTCCCCTTCCTCTCGCAGCGACCAATCCTGGCCGATGACAAGCGGGGGTTTTTCTGGGTAGAAGCGGGGTTTTCAGCTTTGACTCCTAAGAAGAACGCGAGGCAGTGTCCTGCCCTGGGCAGCCCCGCGTGTGGGTGAGAGGGGAGGGCAGCCCTGCGTGTGGGACAGGGGAGGGCAGCCCTGCGTGTGGGTGAGAGGGGAGGGCAGCCCTGCGTGTGGGAGGGCAGCCCCGCGTGTGGGTGAGAGAGGAGGGCAGCCCCGCGTGTGGGGACAGGACAGGGGAGGGCAGCCCCGCGTGTGGGTGAGAGAGGAGGGCAGCCCCGCGTGTGGGGACAGGACAGGGGGAGGGCAGCCCGAGTGTGGGGACAGGACAGGGGAAGGCAGCCCCACGTGTGGGGACAGGACAGGGGAGGGCAGCCCCGCGTGTGGGTGAGAGAGGAGGGCAGCCCCGCGTGTGGGGACAGGACAGGGGAGGGCAGCCCTGAGTGTGGGGACAGGACAGGGGAGGGCAGCCCCGAGTGGAGACAGGGGACCTGCGCGTCTGGGAGCACAGCCAGGAGCAGGGCTGGCAGCTGAGTCTGAGGTGCTGTGACCCCGAGTGAACCAGCCGCGGGGCCCTTGCTTGACGCTCCTTTTTATACAAAATGACAAGTGCGTGCACTCAGGCCTGCGGGGCGACCCCCGGGAAGCTGCACTGGGGATGCCGTCACAGTGCAACCCCAGGCCACAGCCGTCACTGAGGGCCACTCCCCTCCGCCCGGGGAGCTGGGCTGACTGTTCCTGACGGGTGGTGATGTGGGGGGCAGCCCGGACAGTGGTCGTCAGGCCGGGAGGTACTCACAGGTCGAACACCAGGTAGTGGAAGCCCTCCTCCGAGATGCTGTCGTGCAGCCGCACTGGGGAGAGAGAGAAGGCAGTGTTACAGGTGCGGGCGACCCCAGCTCCTCCCTGCCCAGCACCCTGCCCAGCGCGGGGCTCACACAGGCCCCGCAGGAGGGTCGGCCCCTTCATGCTAACTGTGTGGTCACAGTCAGACGAACTGGCTTGTAATGACCTGGTGCCTGCCCTGACGGACGGCTGGAAGGTGAAGGAGGGGAGTGACCCCAGGCTGCTGGTGAGGACCGACCAGTGGAAGGAGTTACAACATCTGCCATGGCTCCAGACTGCCCCCCAGGCCACGCTGTCCACACCAGCCAGGGCCGACAGGACCACGGTGCCAGGCTCGCTCTATTTTAATCCTCCCCCGAGGATATGTGCTTTTCATTGATTCTATAGCGGAAGGGAGGGGAGGAGAGAAACGCCCCTCGGCTGCCTCCCGCATGCACCCCGACCAGGGTCACCCCGCACCCGGTACGTGCCTCGCCTGGAACTGGTCCGAGCCCCTGTGCGCAGGACGATGCTCTGCCCACTGAGGACCGGCCAGGACGGTGAGAGTCTGGTCAGGGGTCTCTGCCTCTGCGCCCCTTTCCTGGGGAATCCCAACACAGCACTCCCTGGCCGACCTGTCTAAACTCACGTCACTTACCAAGTTAGAAGCCAAAAATGTGCATAAAATAATCGACTAGCTCCTCACACTAGCACGGCCTCAAGGCTCCAGGGGCGAGGCTTTTACTGACAACGAGCCAGAGCACACGGAGAGCACTCGGCGCCTCCCGAGCCTCTGCAGTTAACACGTGAGAACTCACACAACGCGCCCCACAGAGGCCAGCCTCCTGATGACACAAGTGCCTGCGTGGCGAGGCCGTCGCTGGCGGCTGCAGGGGCAGAAGCGGCCGCCTCGTGGGACCTGCTTCTGAGCAGTCAGGACCGGACACGATGCACCACGGCCCGTCCTTAGCGTGTTCTCCACGCAGTGATGGCTGCCACGTGGGAAACGTGGACTCAAGAGAACCATGAACTGTCACACCGACTACCACCGCCTGCGAGGGACTTCGCAGCACCATGCTCCTCCCAGGCTCAGACCCAATGCAAAGCCATCCTTTAATTCATTTTTTGTTTGTTTGTTTTGTTAATCCTCACAGAGGACCTTTTCCCATTGCTTTTCAGAGAGTTGGACGGAAGGAAGGGGTTCGGGGGTAGAGAGAGAGAGAGAAAGAGAAACATTGATGTGAGGGAGACACATTGACTAGGTGCCTCCTGCACACGCTCTGACCAGGGGCGGGCGTGAACCTGTAACCCAGGAAGGTGCCCTTGTCCGGGAATCAAACCTGCGACCCTTCGGTGTGCGGCCGACACTAACCACTGGACCACACCGGCCAGAGCCGAAGTCCATTCCTGGAGTCCAATGCCAAGCCCTTCAGACATCATCCTGGCTGGCTACTGAACCTTTCCAACCCCCTCCCCAGGAATTTCTCCAAGGCAGAGACCCGCCCCCCCTGCCAGATGATCCCTTGGAAAGTGGGCGTCTGTCCTAGCAGGGGGACGGCTCAGAACGTAGGGGATGGGGGGGCCGCCTGGACGTGTGGGCAGCATCGCTTGCTTGCACTAACGGCTGAGCTTCCTTCAGTTCCTGGAATTCCTCCTCACCCACAGACCAAACGGGAACCATGTTTCAAAAGCCCGGATGCTCGGTGCTCGCCCCCGTCTCTCTCTGCACCCACTCCCCACGCAGCAGGTGCAGCCTCCTGGGGCTGGAGGGGGCCTCTCCCACCTGCACGTGAGACGCCTGCTGCCGCCTCCACACGGGGGGGCGGGGGGCCTGGTTTCTGCTGAGGGCCGAGATCACATCCGCTGCGGGCAACACACTTACACGTTTAGACCTGCGCCTGCTACACATGGTCCAACAATTAACTCGCCCTAATGCCTCGGCAGGGCCGTCCGGGCATCAATCACATCCGCTGGGGGCCACACACTTACACGTTCAGACCTGCGCCGGCTACACGTGGTCCAACAATTAACTCGCCCTAATGCCTCGGCAGGGCCAGACCGAGTGACTCTGCGGACCTCCCACAGACCACGGGCCGACGTTCCCACCCCCCTGCCTGCTCCCAGGCTCAGCCAGGGGCGGGGGGAAGCTGGGCGAGCAGGCACTGCCTTTTCTGAGAGCCTCGCAGTCCTCACGGGCGGACGAGAGGGGGAGCAGTGTCTGCTTCAGTGAGCCGAGCGGTGGGAGAGTGAGGTGGACTCCAGGCTACAAAGCCGAGGAGTAAGTCTCACTGTGCGCCTGGGTAGGAGCCGCCGGTGGGCTCCCGCGGCCAGGCCCAGGGTGCAGAGCGAGCAGGGCACCGGGCACCGCTGGGGGCTGGGACTCACGTCTGCTTGTGTCGGGGGCACACGTTCCTCAGTCCGACAACCACTGCTGCCCTAACAGGGGAACAGCCGTCCTTGAGCCGCTGGTGGCTCCCGTGGCCAGGCCCAGGGTGCAGAGCGAGCAGGGCACCCGGCACCGCTGGGGGCTGGGACTACGTCTGCTTGTGTCGGGGTCACACGTTCCTCAGTCCCACAACCACTGCTGCCCTAACAGGGGAACAGCCGTCCTTTGGGGGGACGAATCTGAACAAGTCCAGCTGCTCAGAGGCATCCCGGTGACCAGACCCTGTTTCCGGTTCAAACCAGTCTCAGGGAGGCGCCCGCCAGCCACAGCCAGCGCAGGGCAGTGATTAGACAAGCCACTGGCCAAGCTCCTGCCTCCCACGACTCCAGATCGTCCCATGTCCTGCCGGCGTCAGGCAGGCGAGGCCGACCGAGAGGACCATGTCAGGACAGCAGAAACCCAGCACATCTTTACGGGGAAACACGTGCACATTCTCCCTGCTCCTCCGACCCTGCCTCCTTCCAGAAACCCTGGATGTGTTTCATGTGCTAATCCAACCAGGAAACCCAGTCTCCACACAGGGGCCCCACCAGCCTGGCCCTGACCCCCACCGTGGCTCCTGTCTCAGCTGGCCTTCCACTGGGGGCGGGGTCTCAGCTGGACAGGTGTGGCCCCCCTCCTGAGACCAGGGCTGGGGCGGGGTCTCAGCTGGACAGGTGTGGCCCCCCTCCTGAGACCAGGGCTGGGGCGGGGTCTCAGCTGGACAGGTGTGGCCCCCCTCCTGAGACCAGGGCTGGGGCGGGGTCTCAGCTGGACAGGTGTGGCCCCCCCCTCCTGAGACCCGGGCTGGGGCGGGGTCTCGGCTGGACAGAGCCCCAGCGCCACCTCCGGGCCACACTCCTCCCAGTGAGCGTGCGGAGGAGACTTAAGCTCTTTCGTGGGAATCTGTAAGCACGTTTTGGAGACTGGGCTTCAGTTCTCCCGTGAACAGCAGCACATCGTCACTGGAGGCATCACATTCCTCGTCAGTCCCTGCACGGCTGCCCTCTCCCAGGCTAAGGACAGTGGAGAACAATACCCCCAAGTAATCACGCCAGCAATCCCATGTAGAAATGTTTTCTGTCGCTATAACGACGTCCGGGGGCCTCCCGGCCAGGCCTCCCTGGGCCGTGGTGTTCTCCCAGCCAGTGCTCGGGGACAGGCCAGCCCCTGTGGCCCCCACTTGTCTGCCGGCTACAGTCCCTGCCCCGCTCTGGTAATCACGCCAGCAATCCCATGTAGAAATGTGTTTTCTGTCGCTATAACGACGTCCGGGGGCCTCCCGGCCAGGCCTCCCTGGGCCGTGGTGTTCTCCCAGCCAGTGCTCGGGGACAGGCCAGCCCCTGTGGCCCCCACTTGTCTGCCGGCTACAGTCCCTGCCCCGCTCTGATGCTCCCGCTCTGGATCCCTGGTCACGCGTGGCACAGCATGGCGCCAGGACTCACCCGCAGGACGTCTCCACCAGCTCAGCTCACACGCTGTCCCTGCCGCCTCGCAGCCTCGCGGCCGCTGTGCACTTAGGGACACTGACAGCGCGCCCACATGTGCTATGGACACGTTAGCCAGCCGCTCGCCACAGAGGCAGAACCGTGGGCTGAAAAGACGGCGGTCTGAGAGCTGACACGCTGTGTCACCGCCCTGAGCTCAGCTGGCCACCCCGGCCGCCAGGGCCGCCCCCGGGTCTGATCCCAGCCCCCACTCAGAAGTGGCCCGAGGGCTGATGTGCTCACAGACGAATGTGAGTGAGCAGTGAACGCCCGGATACGTGTCTGCGAATCCTGAGGACTGACTATGTGCATCCCTCCCCGCTTCCCGGGTCCTGGCTCCAGCTCTCCGTCATCGGACGCAGTGCCATCGCGGTGTCATTAACACACAGTGCGGCAGGGCGAGGGGCAGCCGCTGGGGGCGTCTATGACATGAAGCTTTCTGACACCGTCTCCTCAGGTCAGTCCACCGGAGGCTCCGTTCTCCGACACCATGCCCCTAACTATCCCACTCACCACATCACAGACAGTGACAGGACCAGCTGCACACGCCACAGGCCGCGTGCTGGCCCCACACCAGCACATACGACAGGACACGTGCTGGCCCCACACCAGCACGTACGACAGGACACGTGCTGGCCCCACACCAGCACACACGACAGGACTCATGCTGACCCCACACTAGCACATACGACAGGACACGTGCTGACCTCACGGACCAGCACATACGACAGGACTCATGCTGACCCCACACCAGCACATACGACAGGACACGTGCTGACCCCACACCAGCACGTACGACAGGATTCATGATGACCCCACACCAGCACACCAAGGGCTGGCACCCTGGTGGGACCGTCTGTACCATCATCAACTGTAAAAACGAAACACGACTCAAAACAACGGTAAGAATTGGCTTTTCAGGGAAAGACAGATGACACTAACTGATAAAAGGGAGTTTACAGCCTTTTAACCTTTTTAGTAAGAAACGACTCAGCAAAAGCACTTTCTGTGGAGCACACACCTGAGCAACGTCCACACACGCAGCGGACAGTGCCCCGGCCCACGCGTAACCCCACGCACACCTCTCCCGTCGTCCGCCCCGTGTCCAGGTCTCTGC